GAGGACCATTAAAGTAAAAAGTGGCTTACTTCTTTCGGTCCATCCTTCTGCAATTGGCAAAAAAAAAAGGCTTCGAACCCAGAACAACCGTCTGATTTATGCGACTCTAATGGGGGATGCAGTTTTGATTCAGATTTGTAGCCTCTAAGTGATAGTGTTAGGGATGGCCGACAACAGCAATCGTGAACAACTGCAGTTACAAGTTCGGGAGTATGAAGTCGTCGATGGATCGAGATTGGCAACAGTCGAACGCAATTATGAGACCGAAGAGAGAAGTGCAACAGTCAAGTTTTAGTTGTTTCAAGCAACTTGATGTGACAGTTAGGTGGTGTCACATATCAATAGGCCTGCATCTCTGGCATATCAGCGAATCGTATTTGTTTGATAGTCGGCCAACTTCTCCCATATGTAGATGATCTTGCCACTCTTCCTCACTGCAAAAGTACAGCAAATCTTAAAATAACTGCTCGGCTCCAATTTTACTGCTTTCTTATTCCTCACTGGGCGATTCTCACTGCTTTTCTTGGTCTGCTGAAACTGGCCGAGAAAAAATTGCAACAGAGAAATTGCATATTATCGATTATCCAGTTAGATGCGCCATCAAGCGACGATGAATGATGGACATATAATGCGACTGGCGCTAACTGGTAACGAAGGGCATTCGTTTCAGATGTTCCCAGCGAGCAATAGCACGAAATTCCAAGTTCAGATGCAACAACAACGAGTAACAAATAATAAGGGACAAACGTTAGACATACCACCCTGGTACTGAAAGCTGTTTGATTGTGCATATTAACAGTGAATAGCAAAGAAAGCTAACAACGAGTTCGAAAGGCCGAGAAACAAGGCTCGTTCAATGGAATATGTCAAGTCAAGTAGTGACGAATGTTCAGTGAAAGACGTCAAAGAATAACAAAGGAGATCACAGCTGCTAGCAAAGTTTGTCAGTTTCTGGCGTTTCCAGCAACTAGCGAAGGATGTGATGCTCAGAAATGTTGCAAAGAAATTCAGGCATCCTGTCATCGGTTAATGTCCGAAGAAAGTACGAAGAGGTTTCTGTCCGAAGAAAGTACGAGGAGGTGACGATGAATGTTCACTCAGTTATGCGGCGATTAAGAAGGAATACACGGTTGAGAATACCAGCATTTGGTGATGAAGGTTGTTAACAGTACCGGTAGATGGCGGGAAATGTCCGAACGGGCATGCTAGCAAGTAATCAAAAGTCTTCCAGCTGCCCATGTGGAAGACTGACAAAGAAAGCCACGTCCGAACTGCTAACGAATAGTTTCGAGGGATATGCAGTCACAGGTTGTCTGTGTGATGGTGGTGAAACTGGGGGTGAAACAACCGTCATGCCTGAGGCATCACCAGTAATACCAGGAGCGCCGGATAATCGATAAGGGAATCTCATCTAATGCGAAGATGCTTTTACACGTTAAGGCGCAACGGTGCAAATCTGAGGTGAAATAAATTTGCAAAAAGTTGAAAATTTTGAAGATGTCTTTGCGATGTTGATGATTTAAGGCCGTCATTTCATCACTGTGCGCCGGGAATTCAGTGATATCAGTGAAATTATTACCGCATTTACTGCTAAATACGGATACAGGGCACATTTTTCTTTGGAAGAGGCAATCATTAGAATTACCAGCAACTGATGCATCTGTCTTCGAGCAAAACGAGAAAGATTGTGGGCTGTGTCAGTGAAGTTACTTTGTGCAGCGATGAAACGCACTTTACCAATTAAAGTAAAATATAAGCATTTCGTTTGATCGGCGCTCAGCGATCGTATTTCTTTTTCAGGCTGCCCTGAACTGCACAGTCT